GTGGCTTCTAAGAAAATAAACCGAAAAATAGATAAAGATTACATAATTATTATTGTTCGTCACGTTTTGTTCACTCCCAGAAGCTCGAATTATTGTGCAATCTTTATCTTTTCACGTTGTTTGATCGGTCTTTGCAGTAGTGTTTTTGACTTCAATTCTAATTCAATAAAAGTTGAGCGGCTGGGAGAACTTAGATGCATAGTTTCCAGTAAGCAACGTTATACAAGCTCAGCTCTCGAAACTACTTGTTTTTCTTCTGGCAATGCAAAACATGATATCGTTTACAGAGGCTGAAAGCGTGAGGTATCAGCATGTCAAAAGTGATGTAATTTTTGTGGTTCAGAAGACCTCAGTTTCAAGACTGTTTCGAAAAGCACGAGTTTCGTATTTTGCCGATCTAATAAAAACAAAAACAATAAAGACTCTTGGTTTGTTTTAGACGTAAAAATACAATATAACAAACTCATCGTGAACGAAAAAGTCTTGAAAAATCAGTTTTTTTGACGTCTGAGCCGTAAAATTATACTTGAATGTAAAAATATCTACTTCAAAGTTTTTTTAAAGCATTTTGTTCGCAAAATATGAGGATTTTGACCCAAAGATACTTGCCCTTCTATCTTGGAAAAATATAATCGTTTAAATTCAATTTTCGCAAATAAAAACAGGAAACAAAAAAAACATACCCGGAAATATCCTCCCGATCTGAATAAATCCTTGCTTCATCGGTGAAAATAAACTCGTTCCTTCTTGGCAATAAAAGCTAATGAGGAGAATTTCTGTAAGTGAATAATTACGTCCTGGATTGTGGATTGTTTTTTAATTATTATTTTGGCAACTTTGTTTAAAGATTGAAGAAGATGCTGTTAATTACACGTAACTTACTTGTTGGTACGGCGTATTTATGGGGTCAGTTTATTTGGAATTCTTGGCAAGCTGATAAGCGTGTGGTTGTCCTGTGGTGACCGACCACAGAGAGTTAACCTGCGTGCGCTGCCGATATGATTGAAAATTTTCTTTCCCGATCCGTACTTTC